GAATATCCAGCAGTGTCGTGGCGTGAGCTATTGTAAGCGAAAGTGACAAAGGGTAGCGCAATGTCCCAGTCACGATGATCCGTCGACACGTACATGGCGAGCATGTCAGTGAGCGTGCGATTCAGACGTTCTGTGAGGCCGTTCGTTTGAGGATGGTAGGCCGTCGTAAGCTTGTGCTTGGTTGCACAAGAACGAAGTAGATCGTCAATTACCTTAGATAAAAAGTAGCGACCGCGATCGGTGACCAGTTGACGAGGAGCGCCATGATGTAAGATGACGTCTTGAATCAAAAAGTCGGCGACATCTGTAGCGCAGCTGCTTGGAAGAGGTCTCGTAATTGCGAAACGGGTCGAGTAATCTATGGCGACGGCGACCCACCTGTTACCGTCGGTAGAAAGAGGGAAAGGGCCCAGCAGGTCGAGGCCGACACGATAGAAAGGCTCGGCAGGTACGTCGATCGGTTGAAGGAGCCCGGCGGGGTGTACCGCTGGCCTTTTGCGGCGTTGGCACGACTCACAAGACCTAACATAACGTTGTACAGAACGGTAGAGGCCGGGCCAGAAAAAGCGTCGGCGGACACGGTCGTACGTTCTGGCAACACCAAGGTGGCCAGCCGTTGGTACATCATGTAGTTGCTGAAGTACGGTCGAGTGCAAATGAGTGGGTATTACGAGTAGTAGTTCGTTTCCCACATGGTGCATGTTGCGGCGGTATAAAATGCCGTCTATGACAACGAACATGCGAAGCGAACTGTCTGTACAGCCTGTGTTCAGGCGGTCGATTAGCTCTCGTAGGGACGCGTCACGCCGTTGCTCACATCCCATGTTGCCGAAAGCAGAGAGCGAGGAAATACAGATGGACGCGTCGTCGGTTACTAGATCTGGAGCGTCAACGGGGTACCGAGAGAGGCAGTCGGCGTCTTGGTGTAAACGGCCAGACTTGTAAACCACTGTGTATGTGAATTCCTGGAGGCGCAGAGCCCAACGAGCAAGGCGCCCCGTTGGATCTTTGAGGGCTGAAAGCCAGCATAGAGCGTGATGGTCAGTGGTAACTGTGAAAGGCCGGCCATATAAATAGGGGCGGAATTTACCAACTGCCCATACAAGCGCCAGGCACTCGCGTTCCGTAATAGAGTAATTGCGTTCGGCAGGAGAAAGGAGCCGGCTGGCATACGCAAGAACTCGATCGTGACCGGATTGACGCTGGGCTAAAACCGCGCCAATACCGTAGCCACTAGCATCAGTGCGGACCTCGGTTGGAGCAGACGGGTCGAAGTGGGCGAGAATCGGTGGCGTGGTCAGAAGTGTTATGAGCTGGGAAAAGGCCGTGCCTTGATCAGGACCCCACTCAAATGGTACATCTTTCTTCAAAAGATCAGTGAGGGGGCGTGCGACCTCTGCGAAGTTTCTGACAAATCGCCGGAAATATGAGCATAGGCCCACAAAACTTCGAACGTCCTTGACACAAGTCGGTACAGGAAAATCCAGGACAGCTCGGACTTTGTCGGGATCGGGGCGGATGCCGGAGGAGTCAACGAGATGCCCTAGAATAGTAACTTGGCGATGCCCAAAATGGCATTTCGAAGAATTAAGTTGGAGCCCAGCCTCTCGAAATACTGAAAGAATTGAGGAAAGGCGCTCGAGGTGAGACTTAAAGGTTGGGGCAAACACAATCACGTCGTCCAGATAACACAGGCAGATAGACCATTTAAAGCTGCGCAAAGCGTGTCCATCATCCGCTCGAACGTTGCCGGCGCATTGCACAAGCCAAACGGCATTACCTTGAATTGGTAGAGACCGTCAGGCGTTACAAAGGCGGTCTTCTCCCGGTCGAGGTCGTCCACGGCGATCTGCCAGTAACCGGAGCGTAAGTCTATCGAAGAAAAATAGGTTGCGCCATGAAGGCAGTCCAGGGCATCATCAATACGAGGAAGCGGGTAGACATCCCTTTTGGTGACCTTGTTTAAATGCCGATAGTCCACGCAGAAACGCCAGGTATTGTCCTTCTTTTAACTAAGACTACAGGGGACGCCCACGGACTCGATGAGGGCTCTATGATGCCTTTTGTGAGCATCTTATTCACCTCCTGTTGGATAACTTGGCGCTCTGATGGTGACACTCGATAGGGACGCCTGTGAATTGGAGCTGCATCACCGGTATTAATGCGATGTTTGACTTGCGATGTTTGACCTATGGGCCTACCGTCAAAGTCAAATATGTCCGAATAGCTCGTGAGAAGATCAGTGAGGTCTTTGACCTGAGACGGCAACAGGTCTGAGGCAATCATCTTAGTTACATTGTTGAGCCGTGTAGATTTGGCTGCGTCGGTGCTATGCGGGTTCGGCGAGGCGACTGTGGCCAGTTCACGTGACACTGATGAGATCTGGCACTCGTGTGACGGTGAAAGAGTGGCGAGAACAATGCCTTGTGGTAGGATTTGAGGGCTGAGTCCGAAGTTCAGAAGAGGAAGGCACGTCTTGTTCGCTGTGACAGTTAATATGGTGTACGGGGAGGAAACGTTGCGGGCCAGTAAAACACCGGGAGAGGGAAAGACCACGTAATCCCCATCCGGAACACTGGATATGGTTCAACTGTGACACAAGTTAGGGCTTGGGGTGGGAGGCGAACAAACTCAGCGCACGAAAGCTTGTTCTGTACCATCTTCGACTCTTCGGTGGCCGCAGGCAAGTCAAGTTGCACGACGCCGGCTGAGCAGTCAATTACAGCGGAGTGGTCGGACAAAAAATCGAGTCCAAGGATGACGTCATGTGGACAGTGAGCGAGAACATGGAATAGAACGGACGTCTGGCGGTCGGCGAATCTCACACGCGCGGTGCACATTCCGAGCACAGCCGGGGTCGCTCCACTAGCGACACGTACAAATAGGGACTCTGGCGGCGTAAGGACCTTGTTTAATCGTGCACGGAGGTCAGAGCTCAGAATTGAAATATGTGCGCCGGTGTCAATAAGGGCAGTAACAGGAAGGCCATCCACTTCTACATCAAGCAGGTTCTTGTCCGTAGTCAAGGTCAGCAGAGGGTTTTCAGGTCGGGAGTCCAATGCAGCGTCACCTCCGGGAGCTGCATTGCTCAGTTTTCCGAAGAAGGGGCGTCCACTAGGGTGGGGCGACGAATAGCGGCGGTGCTGAGGTGACCTGGAGCGACGGTCATGCGGGGACGGCGAACGGCTGGACCGGCGGACTGGTGTCGCAGGAGTGCCATTGTACGGTCCATCGTCACGAGCGCCGTACTGCAGGGGCCGCTGGTTGTCGTCACGTCGATAGCCAGGAAACGACCGAGGTGGATACGTGCGGAAACGACAGTAGCGGGAGATGTGTCCTACACCATGACAATGAAAACATATAGGCTTGTCGTCCTGTGTCCTCCACTGAGCAGGATCACGATAGCGGCGGAATCTTTCTGGTGCAGGAGAAGGCGCTATGGTACTGACCCGAGGTTCCGTCAACGAACATACAGGCTGCAGCCCAACGTTTGCCAGCTCCTCTCTCACGACCTGTTGGATCAACGAGATCGTTGGTCGATCATCAGATGGGCGGGTCAGAAAAGACGGAGACGCGGCTTCGATTTCTCTACGAACGATGCGACCACACTCTCGTTGTTATGTGGTTGACTGCATGGGTGGTGCCTATAGGAATCGGTGGGTTATAATAATTGCATTTGAATGATGCGACCCATCAAGAAGAAATTCTTCTTCGGACCAAGTTGCTTCCCGTTACCCAGTAGGCGATGCCGAAGCATGTGAAGTTTCACGTTAGTAGCGTTGACTGAACATTTCTTGAAAGTTCATGACGAGTAACCAAGGTGGTAAGATGAAACTTGTTTTTATGTAGCTTTGCAATAAAAATGAAGAGAAGAGTGAGGCGTCGTGTCGAGAGCTTTTGTACACATGTATCTATTGAAGAGGTCCCTCGAGGGTGCCTTGAATTTCAACACCATTGTTTGTATTCGAGATTTACGTTACCGTGGAAGTGGTCAATTATCTCCACTTTGAAAATCGGGCTTCGCTTTCATGACCACCAGAATAGTCGTCTGGTAACTTGCTCTGAAAACTTCTTAAACGTCAAGTACTGTCAACCGCCAAGGCGGGTGATAGTAACATTACAAAAAACGTGGGCAGAATTACAATGATTAAAGTTCACTACTAAAGACGTATTTTACTGAACGATGCGTATCTCTTACTGAGCTCACCAACCCAATCCAAATGCTTTGACTGCACAACGTTACTTTAGAACTGTCGCAAATGACATAAATACTGTTCTAAAGCGCTAGTGTACTTTGCCGAATGCTTTATTGCCAATGCCTTAAACAGTGCTGCGGAACGTCCAATGTGGCCGCTTAGTTACCATTTTCAGAACAACCACTTGCACTCCTGACCGAAACCGTACGGGATAAAACTGTTTCTGATCGGTAAAACACCCTCTTTATCATGAATGTCTTGCCTTGACAGCGAGAACACCTGTGGTGTGCTGGGTTGCTACTGGAGGACGCGTAGGCGTTGGACTTACGAGTTGCGGCTTTTCGTGGCGGGGACTTCGTTGCCGGAACAGTCGTTGCCCGTGTGATCACCGTTGACGGCACGGGTCCGCTCACTCTGAATACAAGCGAATACGTAGGGTCCTTCGTGGCATCCGTCCGGCGGCCCCCACCATTACCGGCGCCGTCGGACTCCTCGTCTGCGTACCATGGCAGTTGAGAAGGTGAACAGGTAGATCAGTATACGCCATTGCTTAGCTCTGGCTCCGGCGAGTGCTTAAGCGTTCATTTAGTGCTCGTGCACACACAACACATCCACAATATATATATATATATATACATATATATATATATATATATAGGGAAAAGAAGTGTATACCTAAGGGCTCGTTTTTCCGTGTTTTTACACAATATTAATCAGATATAACAGACAATAATGCCAAGGAATGTATAGAGGAAGTAACATCATTATAGTAAAGTAAAAAGAAAAGTGGGTGAAAAAATAATTTGCCGTGAGCAGCAATCGAACCTACAACCTCCGAAAAACAAGTTCGATGTTCTACCACTGAGCTATCACGGCGACTATTCCCCCAGCCACTTTATTGGGTTGATATGTGAATTTAAACGTGGTAGTGTCAGTCAGCGCCACCTGTAGCCATGGCGGCGAGTGTGGTACAATCGTTTTCCGTGTTTTAACACAATATTATTGAGATCTAACAGACTATAATGCCAAGGAATGTAAAGGGGAAGTTATTAGAACCAATGAAATGTAAATAAGAAGAAAGAAAAGTGGAGGAAAAAATAACCAACCGTGGGCAGGAATCGAACCTACGACCTTCGAAAAACGCGTTCAACGCTTCGTTATTCGAAGGCCGTAGGTTCGATTCCTGGCCACGGTTGGTTATTTTTTCATCCACTTTTCTTTTTTCTTATTTACATTTCATTGGTTGTAATAACCTCCCCTGTACATTCCTTGGCATTACTGTCTGTTAGATCTCATTATATATATATATATACATACATACATATATATATATATATATATATATATATATATATATATATATATATATATATATATATATATATATATATATATATATATATATATATATTAAATGGAAGACGTGGCCCGGCTCATAAGCCATGTTTATTTCATTATTCTATAACACTCTTTCCTTCTCTGCATCTACATACCATCCATTCTACCATACGCCACATGAATCTTCCTCCCCTCGAATGAAGGCACTACTTACAACTTACAAACAAGAAAAAGTACGCAAGGAGTGGCTTAGAAGTCATGAATGTCAAATAGTTCTACACATGTCAAAATGCACGGGTCGTATTCTTCGTCGCAATGACTTGAGGGGATAGTGCAGCCATCCGTAATAAGAGATCTGGTAAGCAAGGCTGGTGGTTGCGTCCTGAATAACACAAAATTGCTCTGGACGTGGGGATAGGAAAAATCACAGCCGGCATTTTTCTGAAGAATGAATGAGGTTTCAACACCTTGCAGAATCGAGAGTTCATATTTCGTAAGCGTCGAATTGCTCGTCACGTGTGACACACAGGCCTTGTAGGAAGCTTCCGTGCGCGTTTATGCAGGTATTCGGCACTGCCGTGTTCCTGCCGAGTACAAGAGGTGCTTTTGTGGCTCTTTGGTATTTTCTATGGCGATAGCACAGATGTCTGGATCGAAGGCGCAAACTTGATCTTTGGTACAGAATGTATCAGCGAGAATGGGACTTTTTGCAATGTTCTTTAAGCCTTGAGAGTAGTTTTCATGAAGTTTTGTTTCGTCATTGACAATGTTGAAGTGTACGTTGACGTTGTAGTTCCTTGGTTTTGTTGACTTGCTTATGGTGTGACGTTGATCGTGGCGTGCCAGGATTTTTAGCAACTTCCCCACAAGCCTTTTACGACACCAACCAATGCAGATGTTTCTGGCGCAAGAAAATGTGGTGGGATTCGGGCACTTGAATATCCTGTATTTATAAATCATACATTGTTGGTCGTTTTCTGAAGTGTACTGGTGTCGTCAGAAGTTGCACCTGCGCTTTTTTTTCATTGTTGGCAGTGGGGTTGTATACTGGATTCACGTCGCTTCAATCTTGTGATTGATGAACACTGGACGCTTCTGCAGAAGCCTTTTCTTCACTAACATTCTGATTGCGAATGCTTCTGTCCTTGTGGAATTCCTGAGCCGAATACTGAATACTTTGAGATTTCTGTGAACATTTGTTGTATGGTTTGGTTTCATGCGCATTTACTATCTCGTCATGCGTAAATGCAACAATCTTACGAGCCGATTTGTCAGGTTTATCAGTAATGTTGATGACAGGTGGCGTCGGGCGAGTGTGCAAAGTACGCATGCGGCACAAAGTATTGATTGCATCTGAGTCATCACTCGTAGATTGAATACTTTCATGCAGCGAATAGATAAGCATTGAAGATATTCGCGGAAACTAGAAATCAGGTGGAAGGTTGGGAAAACGACCGGTTTTTTTTTCGGGAGCGTGTGGCTAACTTCTGGCAGCAGTGGCACAGAGCTCGAAAGGGATTGAGCTAGTCCTGCTCGGGTTCATCGTCAGCTAATCCGGTGTACTTGTGGATGTCAAGGACAGCTGATGGTTCCGTCATAGTGGTGATTGCTGCGTACTCATAGGAGATTGCTGCGTACTGGCAGGCCTACATCCTGTCGACTCGTTGCGACGAGTTGCGGGTTGTCGTGGTGATGACTTCGTTACCAGCACAGACATTGCCCATGTGATGACATTTGATGGCGGCTCTCCGCTGACTCTGTATACGAGCGAATACGTGGGATCCTTCGTGGCATCCGTCTGGCGGCCACCACCACCACCAGCGCCGTCGGACTGCTCGCTCGTCCGTGTACCAGTTCTGAAGGTGAACAGGTGGATCCGTATACGCCATTGCTTATCCCGGGCGAGTGCTTAAGCATTCGTTTATAGCTCACGCACTCAGAGCACATATACAATATTATATATATATATATATATATATATATATATATATATATATATATATATATGAAAGTAGATGCACTTTCACATAACAACTGTTTATTGTGCCGACGTTTCGACAGGAACCCTGTCTTTTTCATATATATATATATAAGTATATATATATATATATATATATATATATATATATATCATGAGGAAGAGCTTTATTTGAGGCGAGCTCGAGCTGGCACACACTGATGATGATATCTACAGATGAGGAAATTATACAAACGATGACGACATGTCCAATTGATAAAGAAGAGTCGGTGACTGCACTCACACTAATTCCCTGTCACGCTGGAAGCGGCCTCCTGGCCGCGCGAGAGACAATATTAGGAATTGCGTCGAGTTTACAGTTTAAGACGAGAAACGTGCACGATTTCTGTCCCACGGCTGTCCCACGATTTCTGTCCCACGGTCGGAGGGAGCGTTAAGTGGTGAGATATGGTAATTAACGGGGGATGTTTGTTCAATCACCGTATAAGGCCCTATAAAACGACTGAGGAATTTTTCACGTCAACAGGACACATGAACGGGAGTCCGCAGAAGAACTTCGTCTCCTTGGGAAAAGGTGACAGCACGGTGAGTTGTGTCGTAGCGAGACTTGCGAGCTTCCTGAGAGATGCCGGAGTTGACTTGGGCCAGATGACGGCAGTGCTCGAGGCGAGACAAAAATTGTGCGTATAAAGGACCTGCTGAGGTAGCAGGAGCCGAAAGGAAGGAGACGTCCAGAGTTACACTTGGAGAGTGGCGCAGGGACCAGAAAACAGGGAGAAAAGCCGGTGGTGCGTTGCGCAGCTGTATTGTAGGCGAACGTTACGAATGGCAAAATGGCGTCCAAGTTCGTGTGGTGAGGGTTAACGTACATGGCTATCATGTCCGAGAGGGTACGATGAAAGCGTTCCGTCAGGCCATTTCTTTGAGGATGATAAGTAGAAGTTGTTATTTGGATGGTGTTGGCGGCGCGTAGAACCTCAGCAACAATAGAGGAAAGAAAGACCTTGCCGCGGTCGCTGAGCAGAACACGTGGAGCTCAAAATATGTTGCGCAGAAAAAAATCAGCTACTTCAGTGGCTGTACCAGCGTGCAGTGAGGCGGTTTCCGCGTAACGAGTGAGGTGGTCAAAAGCCATTACAATCCAACGATTTTCATCGGAGGTCTCGGTAAGGGGGCCGTACAAGTCTTCCCAACGACTTCGAATGGAAAAGTGGGACAAGGAAGAGGTTGGAGAACGCCAGAAGGAGCAGTAGTGGGTCGTTTCCGCCGTTGACATAAGGCACACGAAGAAACATATTTGGCAATCGCAGATGAGAGGCCAGGCCAGGTGAACCGACTGCATATTTTGTCGTACGTTTTGTGATATCCGAGATGCCCAGCAGCAGGATCGTCGTGGAATGTCTCAAGAACGTGACGTTGTAGACAACGTGGTACAACGGGGACCCATTTGTTTCTTTCAACGTGGTAAATATAGCAATGTAAAACACCATCGTGAAGCTTGAATTGTTTCAGTTGTCGGCGAAGTCGGGCGTTCGCAGGAGTGGATGTACCTTCTAAGCGTGCTTTTATGGAGTGGCAGTAAGGGTCAACGCGTTGATGCGCGACAAGGGTAGAAGGGCGGACGGATCTTAGCCAACTGAGACCTGCGATGGGTAATGCTGTGGTGGAAATTGGTTACGGTGGGCTGTTACAGTTGGGTAGAGGGCTGCGAGAGAGAGCATCAGCATCTTGGTGCTTCTTACCAGACCTATAGACGACATCAAAGCTGTGCTCTTGTAACCGAAGTACCGAGCGGCCAAGACGACCCGATAATTTCTTTAGTGACGAAAGCCAGCACAATGCGTTGTGGTCGGTGACGACTGTGAAGTGGCGGCCGTGGAGGTATGGACAAAATTTTTGTACCGCCCACACAACAGCAAGGCACTCTTGTTCGGTTATTGTGTAATTTTTCTCGGCAGCAGTCAAAGCACGACTGGCGTAAGCGATGACACGTTCGCGTGCGGTGTTGTCACGCTGCAGTAGAACGGCACCGAGACCATGACCACTGGCGTCAGTGTGAAGAATTGTGGATGCACCTGGATCGAGATGACATAGTACCGGGTCAGATGTTAGGGTTCCCTTACAAAAATCCTATATATGGACTTACATAAAAATCCCCATATATGGCTACATCAGGAATTGGGCATATCTGGCCCATATATGGAATCCCCATATATGGGCCGTATATAACCTGATATGTCCAAATCCTGATATAGCCATATATGGGCCTTATATCCCCATATATGGGTGTTGCTGTATATGGCCATATATGGCTATAGATAGAAGCATCCATATAAGGTCTTATATGGATGCTTTCATATATGGCCTTATATGGATACCTTTATATAAAGCCATTCAAATGATTCATCTATATTAGTTCAGCCTGTGTCACCGGCAAAAAATATAGCTGCTCAAATCATTCTTCAGCTAGAAATATACCTGTTAGTTGAAAGGTCTGCATGCAGTCACTATCATCTCCAAAACAAAGGCAGTACATACCCCCTGAACATTCTTGTTCAAT